GAATTAGTGGATCTCCCTCTGGTGATTAACTACTAAATTCTAAATGGATTTTCAAATGGAAAATGAAAACAGATAGAACAATTGATAAGTACAAGGCTAGATTGGTAATAGAAGGATACCGATAAAAGGAAGGTCTTGACTACTTTGATACATACTCTCATGTATCAAGAATAACATCTATAAGAATGATACTCACAATTTTCGCTTTGTGAAATCTAGAAGTACATCAAATGGATGTTAAAACAACTTTCCTGAATGGGGACTTGATGAAGAAATTTATATGGAACAACTTGAAGGTCATGTTGTTCTAGGTCAATAAAGGAAAGTCTGTAGGTTGATGAAGTCTTTATATGGACTTAAACAAGCACCAAAACAATGGTATGAGAAGTTCAATAGTGTCATGATGACAAACGACTTCAAGATAAATGTGACAAATGTGTATATGTCAAAACTAAAAACATAGGATATATGATTCTATGCTTATATGTTGATGACATACTCATTGTTGGGAGTAACAATGAAATGATAAAACGTACCAAAGACATGTTAAATTCGAGATTTGACAAGAAAGATATGAGATTGACCGATACGATTCTAGGCATCCAAATTAAAAGGTCATCTGAAGGCCTTATTCTAACACAATCACACTATGTGGACAAGATCCTTAAGAAATTTAACAAGAATGATTATGGTATGTCTATAACTCAAATAGACTCATGTGTACATTTGTCTAAAAATCAAGGTGAAAGTGTTCACCAGGTGGAATATGCAAGGGTCATAGACAACTTAATGTATCTCATGAGCTGTACAAGACCAGACATAGATTTTACTGTGAGCAGTCTAAGAAGATTCATGAGCAATCTAAGTGAAAATCATTGGAAAACAATAAAAATGATACTAAGATATCTTAGATATACTCCAAATTATGGGTTGCATTATTATAGAGATCCTACGGTCTTAGAAGGATACTCCGATGCTAGTTGGATATCTTATATTCAATATACCAAAGGTACAAGTGGATACGTATTCACTTTAGGAGGAGTAGGAGTCGTATCTTGGAAATCCTCAAGACAAACGATTATAACTAGATCCACAATGAATTTTGAGTTTGTAGCTCTAGATAAATCTGGAGAAGAAGCAGATTGTCTACGAAACCTTCTTGAGGATATTCCAGAATGGACAAAACCTGTGCCCACAATATGTATATACTGTGACAACCAAGCAACAATTACTAGAGCACATAATTTTATGTATAATGGTAAACCAAGACATATGCATATACAATATCATTAGGCAATTGATCTCAAATGGAGTTATCTCTATTGATTATGTAAAATCAAAAGATAACATCGCGGATCCACTAACCAAAGGGTTAAATCGAGATCAAGTTGAGAAAACTTCTAAAGGAATGAGACTAAAGCCCGTGAAATTTAAAGGCATTATGTGTTGACTAAAGATCCCAAGATCTAGGTTTAAAGGGACAACCTAATTGCATAAATTGTGTATGATCACTGTGGGGGTTTATTATCCCAAGTTTGTTCCTATGATGTGAACATTGATCAAAGTAGTATAGGCTAAGCTAGGCTTTTAATGACCATTATGTGTCGCGATGAGTCGAGCAACATAAGTCACCTATGTGAGAGTGAAGTGAGGTCGCTTCAAAGAGACTAACAGACATAGTTCTCTCAAACTCTTATAGAACGAGGCGATGTCCATGGCTTTCGGGACATACCCATGAGAACTAAATTTTTTTCAGATGGGTAGTTGTGTGAAGCATGTCATCGTTTACACAAATGGTAGAACAATTCAATGACATCACATCTATTGTTTAACCAGTAAAGTAAATATACTTTCACAAGGGAATGTTCAAAGGAGGAAACCTACCTATCCTATGTAACTATCGATCGTAAAGGCTATCACCACATCAAGTCAAAATGTTTTTTTAATTAAATCATCAATTTCATTCATGTGGGGGATTGTTGAAAAAAAGGGTGAATTACATCGATGGATTTAATATTTAAATTAAATTCAAGAGGAAATATATGTTTAATATTTAAATTTAAACAATATTATTATCTATTTAAATTTAGATATTAGAAGAGTTTTGGTTGTAGTAAAACTCTCAGGTTTAATATTATAAATTTAAAAGATATTATAATTTGTTTAAATTTAGATATTAAAAGAATTTTGGTTGGAGTAAAACTCTCAAGTTTAATATTATAAATTTAAAAGATATTATAATTTGTTTAAATTTAGATATCAAAATAGTTTTGGTTAGAATGAAACTCTCAGATTTAATATTTTAAATTTAAAAGATACTATTATCTATTTTTAAATATTAAAACAATTTTAGTTGGAGTAAAATTCTCTCGAAATTCTCCTATAAATACTGAGCAATCCTCTCAGTTTTTCATATCTCAGAATTAATATTATTATCTATTTTCAATTCTTCACTTGAAAAATATTTTCTTTTCTTTTTAGAAAATATTCTTTTTCTCCCTTAATTTTCCGGTGATAGTCAAAGGCAAGGAAAGTTCGTGATCTCTATTATTGTGCTACTATAGTTGATCATTAAGTTGTTGCATCCTGGAGACAGACGACCAAAAGATTTCGAACACTAAGGAGTGACAGAAAATCTATCTTAAGGAAACTGTGTAATAACATACTTTAACTGATTTCGATAACAAAATCAAATATAAAAGAGTATTTTTTAATTTCTTTTTTATTTTAAGAATTTGATTTTTTTTTTACTTTTTCTCAAGTTCTATTTTGTCTCGGATTATTATACTCTCACATCTAGATCTTTTATCAGAATGTATCTCTCGAATAATCTCACTACACATATAGGAATGTGTGAATCCAATATTAATCGATGCAATTATAAGAATTGAAAATAATGTAAATGCACTTAAAATCACAACAGCGACGTCGTAATTCACTCTGACCCTGTAATATCATACTTTATAATTCATATAAAATTCACTCTGTTAACAAACTTTAATCGTTAAGTTTAATATTTTTTTTGGATTAGTTATTTTCATACATCACATCACAAAATTTTCAAATAGTATTTTCATAAATTTATTTTTTTAAAATATTTTTTTTTGTTTTTAATAATTTTTTAAATATAAAAATTTCAGAGAACTGCAATTTGAAATATATATGAGAAAAACAGTTAAGATTTAACAATTGAAAATGACCAAAAATATAATCAATTGAACTTTTAAATTTAAATATTTAATTAATTGAACTACCCAATTTAAAAATTATTTATATGTAATTAAATTCAATAACTTAATTAATTTTTAATAAAATGTATGCAACTTTTTATAGCACACATGTTGTCAAAATATTTTTCTTAAATAGTCTGATGTGATTTAAATATAATATTTGTTCAAATTCTTTTATAGTTATTAACAATATAAATAATTTACAGACATAACTATTAAAACACAAAATCTTAAAAAAATTAATTTAATTATTGAAACTACTTTATAAGTTACCCAAAATACTTATATAAAACTTTAGAAGCAAGAAGAATAGGATAATAACTACTTTTTTGGGATATAGTAAAAAATGTTAGAAAAACTATGAACGAGAAAATAAAGATTAATATAAAAATAAGTGTTTAAATTATACTTCAAATTGACTTTTGATGCTTAAAGAATTTTTCATTAAAAATATGTGTCTAATGTTTTATTCGTTACATTTTTAGGTGTATATCGTTAAAAAATGTTAAATGACACGTATAACTTTAAAATTTAAAAATTATTTTTAAATAATAATTTTTAAAATAAAAGCGTGATACATGTCACCTAATATTTTTTTAATGGTGAGCACCCAAAAAATGTAACAGGAAAAACATAAAATTAATTTTAGATATAATTTAGACAATTATTTTATATTAAACTAAAAAAAATAAATTAGTAAACAAAAGACATGAAGTAATATTTAAATTGTTTTTAAAAATAATTAACCTCTAGTGGGATGAGGAACTAGATCCTTTAAAGAATATTAGGGTTCGAAACCTAACGTTTGCGAATTGAGCAACCCGGGTTGAGAGGGTCGCTCTCGTATCTGCAGTACCTAATCTAGATTAGTCAGTCAATAGATCGAATATCATTTATTAATTCAATTTTTTTTTAAAAAAAAGTAAAAAAATCACAATTAATATAACAAAGGGTGAATCCGACCCAATACATGAAATTGTAAATTGGGTCAGACCCAAAATTAGGTGCCAAAAGTTATATTTACCCTAAAATAAAGTATGTAAAGGAAAATGGAAAAGAATTTGATATCTTCCCTGCCCAATAACATATATATTATATTAAAATTTGCACACATTAATTAAAAAGGAAATAAATCATTTTTATACAAAATTAAATATAAAAATACATTTCATATTATAATTTGAATTTAATTATTTATCAATTACGTTAATTGAATTAGAATTAAGATATAAAACTAACTCAATCTAAACTTTCATATAGTCTTGGATGTTGAGGGAATAATGAACCAAAAATAGAAATGTTTTGAAGAAAATGTTAATGATATGTGGGTATTTTTATAAAAATAGATTTACTTATTACTTCACAAGTTAGTTATTTTAAAAATAGGTGAATAAATAAAATAATATCCTTTGTAAATATAATTATTTTCATATTTTGATAGTTCTATTTAATTTTTATTAAGTTCAAACCTGTATATTTGATTTTGATGAATAAATATTTTAATAAATTATTTTTATGTATTTCAAATTTGAAATTAAAATATATTTAAATAATATCAAATAATTTATCATTTGAACTATCCCTTGATTTATTAAATTTAGTTGTATAACTCATATATTTTTCAGTTTTTTTAATATATATAGAGAGAGAGAGATAGAAGGGGGGGGGGGGGAAGGGAAGAGAAGGCCCATGTGTTATAGTGAACTCCCATTTGATAGATACACATATTTTAGGTGTTTCTGAATTCCCTATTTCTAATATTTGTAGGCCTCTCCCTCTCTCTCTCTCTCACTTTCTCTTTCATTCTCTCTCCTCTCTCCAGAAAGGGCAAAACCCTAAAGAACCGTTTACACCCCAAAGTAAGTTTTCTCTCTCCTCTCACTTCAACCCCTTTTTTTCTTCTTTATTTTTTGCCACTTTCTCTCTCTGCTTTCTCTTTCCACCAATTTTGAATATATGGGTCCTTTCTCCTTTGTTGCACCATATTGTTTGAGCTTTGAGCATGGTTTTTTTTTTAAAATGAGATCTGGGTGTTTTTAATCAACTTTCCTATTTGAAACCCCCCATAAAACTGCCATAAAAATTCAAACTTTTTATTCGAAGTTTTTTTAAGCTGTAATTGTTAAGATCTGATCATGGGGTTTGATGCATGTAATATGTGGGCTTTGGTTAAATGTGGCGATCTAGGAATTAGTTTGGATCTGAAAGTTTCCGTTTTTCTGTTGCGTATCTATAGATTTCGATTCTGCTGCTTTGAGATCTTAGATTTCTTTTCCTATTTCTGCTAAATATATTTTGTTCCCAATGGACTGAGATCATTGGTTTCCATTTCTTGGATCTGAGAAAATGTGAAGGCTGCCATTCTGAAATTTAACTCATGGGAGGTGGGTTTTTCGTTTAGATTCAGAAATGTAATGCATTTTGCGTTGTCTGGTATTTAAATTTTATTATCCGATCTTTTTATTTGGCTATCTATGAAATTGGATCTTGCTTTTACTATCCGATATTGCTTTACTTGAACGCCATTAAATTCTTGCCTTAGATTTTGTTTTGAATGTTTCTGTTTTCATTGACTTCATGTGTTATATATGTAAATTGGAATTCTAGTAGGATTTGAATTGCATTGATGAAACTAGTCAGTTCCTGCCTAAATGTATTCTGTTTGTGTTGTTGATCATATGTTGTAGCTTCATGGACGATGATGCGTTGAATATGCGTAATTGGGGTTACTATGAACCATCTTTTAAAGGACATCTTGGTCTTCAGCTCATGACTAGCATGGCTGAGCTGGACACGAAGCCTTTTATTCCCGATCGTGACCCCAATCTCATGGTTACTCCCAATGCGGCCTTTCACCCGAGGGACTGCATTGTTTCGGACGCGCCTATCCCCATGCACTACATTAGGGATACTTGGATTAGCCAGAGAGAGAAGATTTTCAGCATGATGCCGCCGTCCACTGCTCCTAGTTACGGCATTCTTCCAGAAACTTCAGCAGCTCATTCATTGCCGATTTTGCAGCCACCACCTCCTGATACGATAACAAGAGATGAGAGTGTGGTTGGTAGAGTGGAAGAGCCACCTGTCAGTCAGGAAGACGCCCAATCGAAGAAAAGGCAGGGCGGGCCTGGCCCTAAGACACTAAAGGCCAAAAAGCCTAGGAAGCCGAAGGATGACACCAATTCTACTGTTCAACGTGTGAAGCCGCCAAAGAAAAGTATGGATATCAAGATAAACGGATACGACATGGATATTTCCGGCATTCCAATTCCGGTTTGCTCATGCACTGGAACCGCCCAGCAATGTTACCGATGGGGTTGTGGCGGTTGGCAATCTGCCTGTTGCACCACAAACGTATCCATGTATCCTTTACCAATGAGCACCAAAAGGCGGGGCGCAAGGATAGCTGGCCGGAAAATGAGTCAGGGGGCATTCAAGAAGGTCCTCGAGAAACTTGCTGGTGAAAATTATAACTTCAGTAACCCTATCGATTTGAGGACTCATTGGGCAAGACATGGTACCAACAAGTTTGTCACTATCAGGTAGATTCAGACTGGTGGTAGTGATAGTGGAGCTCCATTGCAGACGGCCTGCTTTACCTGTATATAGCTCTACAGCCTTCTACGGAGTTCTCCGATGCCTTGTGGCTCATGAACTTTCCGAATCGTAACAATGTTTTAAAATTCAAACGTCATTAGCTTTCCTTTATGATTTTGTGGTTTAAGAACATCAGTTTATTTTGGTCATTGACATTCAAGTTGTGGATGAGTGTCTTTTCTTTTGTTTGGTAACCTCCTTTCATCAACTCAGCAATTGTTATTTAAGTCCTTAAATGCTCTGCTTTCCTTGGCTATCTTCTTAACTGACCTCAATGGCATATTTTTTGTTGTTTCATTTATGTGCATGAAATACATAAAACTTGTTTGGAAGTGTTCATCATAAGGTCTCATGTCATTGTACTGCGTGTATTTGGAAAAATCTTAGAAAAAATACATATGAATATATGAGAAATTTAGTCGTTATTGTTGATGAATATTGAATCCACAATTTAAGGGAGAACGGAAGTCTCATATAAAAGCTTTTTAACACGTCACTATTGGGCTATAAATTTTGATAACACAATGATATGGATGGATCTATATCTTTTTATCATTGTAATGACATGAATTGATGGACAAAACGATACCGTTTTGACATAATTATTGATGTCCACACTATATTATTTTAGGCATTAAACTTTTTCGATCGCTACTGGCAGATAATCACTGTCCGTCATTAGTCATCACTCGTGAAAAGATTGATATTAAAATATTCACAATTCACTTATTTTTCTTCTCATCAAATTGGTTCTCCATGTAATACATGCAAAATTAACGAAATCCATCTAAATGTTTGACATGCTAAAACTCTGGTCTCCTCCGATGGTTGTTCAATGATGTTAGTTTTGAAATATGTCATTCGTCTTCTCGAAATAATGTTTCTCACTATTCAGATTTTCAAACATACACCCAAAACTCCTATTAACTGATATTTTCTTGTATAATTTAGTCATTGAGTCTCAAGAAAATACCAATCCTAGTGGAAGAAAGAAGAATGAGATACTAACATTTTGATATTGATCTTGCCATGAGAGACAAGACGATCGGTGACAAGTGACATTTCATTGACAATGACGATAAAAAAATTGTAATACCCAAAAATGAATTGTTTATAAGTGTAGTAGCAAAATAGATACACTCTTAAAGTTTGATGCCTAAAGCATGTCTTTTTAAACATCAGTAGTAGTCGTACTAAAATGATCTCATTTTGTATATGCCATCACATCATTTGGATTTTAATAATTTAAGTCAACAAAATTTAATACTATAATTGGATCAATTGAAAGTTCAACGATATAAAAATATACACCGTCTAAAGTTTAATGGTATATAGTGTAGTTTACGCAAAACAAAATAAATCGAAACATGCAAGGAAAGAATGTATTTTTTAACTCAGATCTAACCCTTTTATTTTTTGTTTTATTAAGACATAATCCAAAAAGAATTGATGGAATGTTAATGTTCCAACTGCTAAAGACTAATTAAATCTGGAAGTTCATAGAGATTATAAGCATGTGCATTGTGAACGGGTACAAGAGGAAGTAATAGATCTTTAGCAGCAGCAACATCTCCTCCTGCAACAGTTTTGATTTCATTTGAGAAACCATATTGTTGTTCGTTGATGTTTGTGTTTTCTTCATCAAAAACCACCCATTTGTTTGTAATTATCGTTTTCAAGGTCCCCTTCGTGTGTTCTTCCAAAACTGTTGCCATTTCCATCTGGTTCTTCTCCTTGAAACATTCGTTGCTGTCCTTTAATGTCTTGTCCGAAACCGAAGCCCCATCGATTATTCTCTCGAGTTCTTCGACTTCTTGTTCGGGAATCTGAGTGACCGTGGGGAATAGACCAGCGTTTGAGACTCCATATTCCTTGCAAAACTTGAAGAAGAGGGAAAGCTCTTCTCCCTGTTTCGTTGCCTTTTGAAGAACCTTGAGCGCCAAGGCAGCTTCCTGTTTGCTAATGGAATATATCTTCAGCAAAACCTTTGCGATGTCGCGGCAAATTATACCGTAGACGTCGAATATCTCGACGATGACACAATCCATGGCTTCCAAGATCAATCTAACCTTCATATTCTTCGCTCGTGGCTTGATTTGGAGCAACGAATCAAGCAAAGATTGCCATGTCTGCAGTCTCAAAAGCTGTTGCACCATTAACGAACGATCACCTTTACTGTTACTGTTATCTTGCTCGAACAAAATGGAAGCTTTTTGATCTAGAAACGTGAAGTATTCACGGATGATACTATTGAAACCCCAGGATTTGTCAGGCTTCGAATGTCCATCGCTGAAACTCGAAAGATCAAACGGTAAACGCGGCATCATTTCAACGACAGGCACCTTACAATAAAAAATGCCATGCATGAGCATCAACCCTTTAATGGCCACCACCCAACTCCGAGTCTTCTCCATCCTCCTAGACAACGCCCACGTAATAGGGAGTAGACTAACCGGCGACGTTTGGATCCACGAAAACACGACCTGCGCATTCCTTTTATCTATGTGGCATTCATCGTGGTCTGTGGCCTTTATAATGGCTGCCTCAAGATCAGGGCTTCTAAAGGAATGCCTCCTGGAAATATAGATCACCACAATGCTATTCTTATCTTTGATAGCACCGACGGCCTTTTTCCAGAGCTTCATGTTTCCCGGAGCCGACTCGTCGCCGGTTTTGAGGGGAGCCTCGGGTGTGTTGAAACTTGAAAGCCCTCCTGATTTTTGTTGTTTCTTTTCTTTTTATCATCAACAAGAATTTTGGGTTCAACAAATTGAAAACCAACAGTCTATGATTGGAAAATTGAGCAGTGATTTAGCGATGACTGCCCGTATTGCCCTTTATTGGCATATATTTCCAGGTAAGTTTATAGCATCTATTTTCGGAACAAATGGCCAAAATCATAGGCTATAATTGTTATGTTTATATTTATACCATTCAAGTAAAACATGACACTGCATACGATGAATCGATTCGGATCGTACTAGAATACGTGCATGTACATTACAAACATATGTTTCAAACATGCATACATACAATAGACATTAAAATATAAGCAAAATCCAGGAAACATGAAAGCAAGGCCAGAACTACTACTACTACTACTAGCAATGCTATCTATACAACATACAATGCCATATATTGAAAACAAGTTAAACACAGTTTTCACACTAGTTTCTTTTTCTATCGGTGTTGATCTCTCCCTATCCTCGAAGGAAACTATCGTCGTTCAGCTCGTTCGAACCTCGAGTGTCAGTCACTTGTCCTGTTCGACTCCTACCAATTCACAATCCATACACTAATCTACCATACCCTTTCTTTTGTATTCACAACACAAGGTCCGCTGCTATAATCCAATCTACATTTATTGCAACTATAACATCCTATAACCTCTTCCTGCGATTTAAACAGAATTTCTTTTAAGGGATCGAACGGATCCACATTAAAAGTGAAGATAAATAAAGGTGATCAACGGCGTAAGCAAAACGTGGTATAACTTCTTTTATTACCTTTTAATACATTTATTGATGTCATTGATATGTAAATGAACCTAGGGACGGAACTATATAGGAATTAGGAGGAGTTATGTATTTGTCATTCCTAATAACAATTTAGATCTTAATTAGTTTAAATTTAAATAAAATTAAAATTTCTCCCCTAATTTTTAGATTAAATACATAATAAATTTTTATTATTTTAAAATTAAATATCTTGTCCCTTTTAATATTTGATCATGGATTCGTCCCTACATGACCCACCTAAAACTTACAAAAATATCTTGGAGGAATCCTTACCTATAATGTCATACTTAAGTCTTTAACCAACCCTTAATCAGGATTACCCCTATTAGGGAATCGCTTTTCACACGTGTGGTTCGCACATGTAAACATAATCGGTGGTAGAAAGTAAAAAAAAACGAAAATCGATCATAATCGAAAATGTTATTAATAATTATAATTTTTTAGGTTGTACATGCTAATATTTTAAGTTATTAAAAATATTTATATTAAACCTTCAAACCACCATAGATAACAATAGCAATACTATCCTAATTCCTAATAACAATAAACTAAAAATAATTGTTTTAATTCTACCTTAATTCCTAATAAAATAATAAATCTAACCCTAAAAGATAATGCATCATCATATATTAAATTATATTCCAAATAATCAATAAAAATATTGAAAATTCGTAATATTGGATTTATGCGATTCAAGAACCATTGGAAAGGTAAGAGATAGCTTTCGTAACTCCAGAAGACATGTCGACTAAATAACAATTGGATCCCATACAAAAGGTCATTTCAAGTATGATGTTATTTTGGTCTTCTTTTTCAAGGCTTGGCGTGGATCAACTCGAAGATTTAGTCCATCTTCTTTTGATGTGAACCTTGTGGTGCACGTATCAAAAATAGAAATAATAAAAGTTAAATGATGGAATTTATAATTTATCCAAAGTGTAAGAGTAGACAATTTAGGGATAGAAATATTGGATCTGCCTTCAATACTTTCATTTATACATAAAAAGTATGGCCTAAAAATTAAATCTTTTAGCCCAAAATCTAGGACGATTGCAGGCACTGCGTTTTTAACCCTTGATTTTCCAGGGAAAAAGTTTGGGAAAACAAAGTTTTCAAGCAGTTCTACGATATATAGCTATTTTGATTAGAACAGTTTATTCTCTGGAATTTCGCACATTTAAGATTTGTTTGTTTTATTAAAAAGTATCTTTAAAAAATGAATTGATGTTTTTGTAAGACAAAATGTTTGAATATACAGGCTTGGATTGATGTTTATCCAAAAATGAATTGATATCTTTTTCATTTATTTTATTTACTTTAATTTTTAAATTAATTTTAAATACAAGATAATAATTTTATCATGTATAAAATTAAATAACTTATATTTAATTTTAATTTATAAGATTTAAAAATAAATAATAAATAGATAGAATGTGTAAGTATTGAGAAGTAAATGTGTAATTATATTACTTTTTTAACCGTCACTTCATCTCATTATTAAATGTTAATTGAATGATCTGATTGATAAAATTAAAATATTGATAATCAAAATAAAAAGAGACAACAATTAAGTGGATATAAGTATAGTTTACCCTTCGTAATTGAAAGTCTATATATTTGTCAACACAAATCCGAAAAGATGTATTCTTTCTCTCAGTTTAGACTTTGGGAGATTTTTAACGAGACTTTGAATTAAATTGTTTTCTTCTTCTTATTAATAACATCTTTGACCGATAAAAAAAACATACATATTAGGTCTTAACCCCAAGTATTCAGTTAAAAATATAAAGAATATATTTAAACAACCACAAAAATTAATACTAAATCAATATAGGGTTTACCATTACAATATCAACTCATTCAACTCTCACGATAAAATCTTATATTAATTAGACCAATGATGTTTAATTAGCGGCGATATTTTAATTATGGGTTGGCTGTTGGGGGAAGAAGGGGTCGTACGAAAGTTTATCTTCTACACCAAATATAAATGCATATTAAAACATATGTTGACACCTATATGAACACAGTTAAGTGACGAACATATTAAGTGATCTCACTGATTAAAGAGAGTGTTGTTTTTCTTTGAGAATCTGGATTCGATTACCTTCATCTACAGAGTGTGTGTTGTCAACGGTTAAAAAGATTACTAATATGCACTACCCTGTAGCCACCACAAATCATTTAAAATACAGAATCAAGCGACAATATGCATGTGTGGATCTTAACTTCAATCATTCAATAAAAAATATATTTAAACACTTATAAAAATTAATATCTAACTAATATGAGATTTGTTGGTAATGCAAAGAAAAAAATTCTTACGTTAATATGTATTTACTTTTTAAAAGTATTTAAATATAATATATTTTTTCTTTAATTAAATTATTGGAGCTAAGACATGTACATATGTACACTATTGTTGTCTAACTTGATTTGTGTTAACATGTAATTGTGTCTCTGTCTTTAGACATTAACTTTTCATTCTTTCGTTTTAGTCTTTGATTTCATTATTTATTTTTTCATTTAGATTCTTGTATATATTCTCTATTAAGTGATAAGAATATATCACCCACTCATCATTTTTAACACTTTTCATAGGAAAAATATTCTATCAAATAATTTTTACTTTGAATTGTTAAACATGTTTAAAAAGTTAGATCATTAAATATATTAATTTTAAATGATTAATTTTTTTAATAATTCATCTTAAAAGATCCGTGCATCTGAAAATAAATTTCTTATTTTTTAATAGTTTAGAGTAATTACAAAATAATATTTGTTCAGAATTTTTCTTAATCATTGATAATGCATACACCCATAGACGTAGGCATGTAGTTGTTCGAACTTAACATTTCTAAGAAAAACATTTCCTTCAACTACTGAGTCACTTGATGGATTTAAATTTATATTCGCTCATTTCGTGTTTGTGGTGGTGAAATATATCGGGGATAATGACTAAAATAATGTCTTTAAAAATGAAATTTCCCAAAATAATCCACCTCTTGTATTATTTTTAAAAATAGGGCAATTGTTACATTACTTTTAGAAGACTTCAGGATTGCATGATGTCTTCATTTGAAGATTCCAAGATTGCTATGCATCTTTTAACTTTGGGTAAGCTAAAGACGCACGATAATCTATGTGTATTCCACACAAAAAATTGAAGTCGTACGATGTTTCTGACTTTTTTTCCTTGCCACTGTAATAATAACTCTAAATTATAAAATAATATGATGAGAGTATTATACTATTTTTTCACCGCTCTACATGGGCAACGAAGCCGGCAAAAATGCCCAAATAAGGATGTGGGAATGTTTAATTCCCAAACTAATGCACTCATCCGATTAATTCCTGATCTAGAATATTTTCTACAGGGTTTTGGGATCTCTCGGCGTCTTTAAGGGTATTGTTTGTTTCTTGGGATCTCTAGGCGTCTTTAATTGAAATCAGGAAAAAAATTGTGTTTTTTACACAAATATCACCTTAACATAAATTAATTACTTGTTGGGCATTGTTTAAGAATATTTTATGGATCTAACAAATTTTTAAATACTTTCTATAAAATTATTCATGCATTAAATTACACAATACAATTATGTCTACCAATTACCACTTGACATTTTCTGATGCGTTTTTGATCCTTTCAAAATCTTATACGTATAGTATATTCTAGGAAAGCTTAAGTAATTTAAAATATAAATAATTTTATAAAATATTACGGATCATCATCATCATCATCATCATCATTTTGAAAATAATTTTGTAGAAAGGCGCGGTACATGCACAGCATAGGATTTTGAAAAATATTTATATAAGTTTTATAAAAATTTTATAACTAATATTTATTTTTCAAAATCCTATGCGGTGAATGTGTCGCGCCTTTCTACAAAATTATTTTTCAAAATCCTAGAATATACTAGACGTATAGGATTTTGAAAGGGTCAAAAACGCATCAGAAAGTGTCAAGTGGTAATTTGTAGACATAATTGTATTGTGTTATTTAATGCAAGAATAATTTTATAGAAAATATTTAAAAATTTGCTAGATCCGTAAAATATTCTTAAACAGTGCCTAACAAGTAATTAATTTATATTAAGGTGATATTTGTGTAAAAACGCCAACTTTATTTTTCTTCTAAAGACGTCGGGATT